CTCCCAGACTCTCCTCAGGCAACCTACAGAATATAGTCGGGTGTTTGATAAAGTGGCTCTCAGACTACCAAAGAAGAAAGTTACACAATACCAGGGTTTGCACCACTCTATCGGATTGATTTTCGATATTTTTTGTACCTAACTGACAACCTAATTCACTTTCCAGGATATCAAACGCTCCCAAATGTAGATGGCCTTACCATCTCTGATGAGATAGTTGGCTTCTTTGATACCCTGACTCTCCAAGGGGATTTGGCAGGATGAACAACTGGACTTCTGTAATTGTACTTCTTAATGCCAGTAAATACAGAATGCCAGTGGTGAATGGAAATGATGCTTCATTCAACACTTCCTTTCTGGGAGAGTTTAATATCACACTTCCCACTGATGAAAATGACATTAGAATCATTCTTTGTGATACTCTCGGTGTCACTCATACTTGGGTTCTGGGGCCAATAGATCATGCTACCTCTTGTGATTTCTTCCTAAAACAATTGATAGCAGAACTGCGGGAATATTCAATGTTGAATTCAGTGTTTACTTAAAAAAGGACATAACTCTCTTACAATGGGTTTAAACAGGGAATACTAAAAATATATTGTGAATAAAAGCACACCTAAATTGACTAAAAGCGCTTCATTTACAGCCGATTCATTACTTTATGATGTATCATGCAGTTAGTAACCTCCTGAACACTAGTGGATCAACAGTTGATTTTATTACCAGAATACACATAACAGGGTACCTAACCAATACATAACACAAACGAGCTTGCATAAAAATTAGTGCAAAATTATCCGAGGCTATAATCAATAAGTTGTGGAACTCCCTAACGTAGGTTACGATGATGTGACCCTCTGATGGACATTTAGCGTGAAGGCTCGAATAATATTTTAGCTCTATAGGTTCCGAAGGGGATCGCTCTAAATTACATTCCCTGATAGAAACCCGACTCGTTATTGTTTAATCTGAGACCACAAACCGATATAACTGTTCACTTTTAATGCAGATATGGATTTGTGTAATAAGGGTAGAAGGCCTTTAGCTCACATTATTTCTTTTCTAGTATGCTTCAGTGAGTGTCTAGTCTTCTGTTAAATGAGTCAATTGAAGGTGTGGACAACACTGCTTCGGGTAAAAAATTCCAAGAATCGATGATTCGGTGTGAAAGCCTGTATGCCACGGGTATTTTGTTCGTTCCTGGCTTTTCTACCCGCCCGCCATGTCCTCTGACATGTTCTGATCTAATGGGAAGTAAAAGAGAGAATATATTAGGTCTAAACGTCTTAGCTGCAACCTCCTGGGAACGGTCTGTGGTCTTAAGACCATGACTCACTGTTACCCTAAGACCCTTGCGAAACCGGACCACGAATACAGGCACTCCCCCTATGCTGTACCTATTAACCTTTGTATCCCCAAAGTGCACATAGACAAAGTTGGTTGAATTGTTAGGTACAAACATTTTTTTGACCAGCTGATCAGAATATCTAAGTATGCCCGAATTGTGCATGCATCAGCGTTTTCTGTTGTTTCTCCAGATTTTTTACTTCATCAGCGCATAGTAAAATTGGGGGATGAACTGTACTTGGGAGACCATTTGCATAGAGCATAAAAAGTAACGGACCTAGGACAGAACATTGCGGTACTCCACTGAATACTGTTTTCTAGGCTGAACACTTCGAATTTAATCTTGCTTTCTGTCTATGACTTACCAAGAAATCCTTGAGCCATTTTACAAGACGTTTGACAATGTATAGATTTTCCAGCTTCAAGAGCAGTCCATTTGTTGGCACCTTATCTAATGCTTTGCTGAAGTCTATGTAGACAACATCCACTGAGTTTCCACTGTCCATAGACTCTATCCATTGCTCCATTGTTACGAGGAGGTCTGTTATGCAAGATAAACCTTTTCTGAAACCATATTGTTCGCTGTTTCACAAGTTTTTAGCTTGCACGAGTGTCATTACGGTCGCTTCGGCTATTCTTTCCAGTATTTTAACCACGACACTGTCGACGCCGACAGGTACGTAGTTCGATGGAAGTTGTCTTGGTCCTGTTTTATGTATAGGACTGACGATCGCATCCTTCCAGTCCATAGGTAACACACCTTGGTCAAGTGACATACTGATCATCACAGTTAGTAGGAATGCAATATATTATGCAATTCTCCTTAGGATTTTGGAGTGTAGTTCATTTGGCCCAGTTGACCCTTCCGTGTTTAAGGTGCTAATAGCCCTAATAACATCGTCTCCATCAAAAGGCACAATGATAATCCTCTATCATTTCAGATCCATTTCCTCCTTTAATTAGGTTGAGAATACAATGTTGCATCCTTGTTCGGTAATTTATATACGAGAATTGCCTCTTAGGCTGCGTAATTGCAGATTGTACTAAATGCGTTTCATAATTTCTCTGAGCTTTGCGGATTTTAATTATACACTTGCTTCTTACCGACCTGTAGCGTTCCATCGTACTTGCTGTGCCAAGGCTGATGGCAGCATTCCAACATTTCTTCTTTTGTCATAGTGAACGTCGACCATTCCAGCCTATCCCGGGATGGCCGTGCTTATTCTTCTTTGGGACTGTCCAGGGAATATATGGTTGAGTTACCCAATTGTATAACTGTCTGAAGTGAGTTCATGCCTCTCATGGTGATGCCCTTGGGTCAATTTCCAGGTTTTCAACCGATGCAGCAGAGTTGATTGCCTTCATATCTGCCTTCCAGATATTAGGACGGGCCGGCGCAACTGTCTGACAGGCCACCTCAGCTATGAATCTGAATACTATAACTGCATGGTCACTTCTCCCTAGTGGTGAGAGGAAAGTTGTTATGACTTTAAGTTGGGTCGATTTTTACCCTGTGCTAATTGTGTGTCCTTGACTGAAGAGATTAGAGAGCAGCGTATTTATCGATCGATTCAATGACACGGAAAACACGTACGGACGGCCTAGAGTCTCGATTGGTCCCACTTCCCTATCTAGCCCAGTCAGTTGAGTTCAGAACACAAGTCACAATCTCTGAGATATGAATCATTTTATTTCAGACATACTCTATTTATATACTAACCAAACATACCACATCGTACCATAAAAATAGAAAACAACATTTGTACAATATTTAACGGATGAAGTAAATAATGGCCAATAGGAAATGTCCATTTAACGTCCAAGGATATCATTAGACTTAACATGATAATGATTGGCACATTATTCTGCATCCATAACAAAGTCATTTGACCAACGTCATCACTGTGTGTGAAGACTAAATGCGACGGAATATGTCAAGTTTCCTCTTGAAAGATTCCTGGGAATTTGTTTGAACTATCTCAGCAAGATGTTTGCCTCAATGATAAAAGATAAAGGGTCGAAGTCAGTCCTAACCTAGTGAGCTTTAATGCCCGTCCAATTTTTTACTCAATCACTTGCCATGTGTGAAGACTAAATCCGAAAGAGAAGAGGAGTTTCGTAAATCATATCTTGTGGGATCTCTAATGTGCTGGAATAAAGCTAATCCAATTGAGGTTTCTAACAGTTTGCAATCAAATGAAGTTTTGGATGATTCTAATTCTGAGTTTACCCAGTTTATATTCGGTGCATTAAAGTCGCCTACTATAAGGCTTTTACCCTTGTTACACCAGGACTTAAGATGACTTAGGAGGAAGTCATCTACTACACATTCTGCACTGAGATATACTACGATTAATTCAATATCTTGCCGTCTACATTTCAGTCTGCAGCATATCAAATCACATCGTCGTGAATCATGTACCACTCTCGTATGGTAAGAGTACTTTTCATGTACAAGATAAACCCGCTTCCCCTGCGGTTTGATCTATCGGCTCTACTGAATAAAAAACCAGTCAACTGAATTTCATTATCGGACACTTCTGACGTCAACCATGTTTCTGAAACATCCAGTTTTTCTATATCCATCACTGTCTTGAGCTCCGCCATTTTATTTGGTAGGCTGCGAGCGATTGTGTACTTATTTACTTACGCCCGTGACTCCCTATGGAGCAAAGGCCACCGACCAGCACTCTCCAACCCACTCTGTCCTGGATCTTCCTTCCCAGTTCCATCCAATTCTTGTTCATTTTTCTCATGTCTATCTCCATTTCCCGGCGTAATGTGTTCTTTGGTCTTCCTCTTTTCCTTTGACCTTGAGGAATCCATGTGAGGGCTTGTCTTGTGACGCAGTTCGCTGCTTTCCTCAACGTGTGCCCTATCCACTTCCAGCGCTTCTTTCTGATTTCTTCCTCCACTGGGACTTGATTCATTCTCTCCCACAGCAGGTTGTTGTTGATAGTGTCTGACCAACGGATGATGGCTTTCGTAGTTCTGCAGGCTCCCGCCTCATACAGTAGAACTGTCTTGACATTTGTATTGAAAATTCCAACCTTGGTGTTGGGAGCATTTGTGTAGCACACGTTTAATTCTGTTACCACTCAGAGTGGTTTGAGGATCGTTTTGCTGAAAACGTTTACAATTTCAAAACCCTTGAGTACGAGATTTCTTTCACCATTTCGGAGGCGCTCATTTATTTTTACCTCTGCAGCTCATCTCTCAATACGGTCAACCAGGCTGAGATACTCACAGACGTTGATTACGGATCCGCTCCCCTGATTGGGTCCACTTTTATGGTCTCATTCAAATCTAGAGCTGGGCTCATGATAACGCTCTCTATTTCCTCGAAAGCGGGATTCATCTGCCTGTTTATGTGAGGGCAATCTTCTAGCCATGTTCAGCAGTTCAATCTCCTCAAGTATCAACAGAGACTTTGTAGAACAACATACTTTGCACAGCCAATGTGATAGTGGCTTGCAGTTCCTTTTATATGTAGCCGGTGTAAGTCCGGCGCACACATTGTGATATCACTTATTGCAGTTGTCACAATGCATCCCATCATCGGCGGGGAAATAACATGCAGGTCTGCCACAACTATGTTTTACTTGAAGCATAAAATTGTTTTGTGATATCACAGGAAGAACAAAAGCGAAAACTGGTCACTAGAATAAGTATATTTTATGGCTTATTAGGTGATAGACACTGAACACAAAAAACAGAGGTTTGTTTATTAGTGCATCTAACAACAATGAAAAAATCCGACTTCAGTAGATACGAAAAACCTTAACACTTTTGGATACAAACAATACTAAAAGATATACTCAGCGATGAAAAAATACCAGTGCCTTCTTTGTATCCGTACTCAAAAAGTAAAGATTATAAATCTTTCTAGAAAAAAGCGATTCTCTTGGAGATTACTTTAACTGAAATAAATTTAATTAAAGCAAAAACAATAATCTTGATGCGTAATTAAACGGTCAATGCTATAAAATATACTCAGAGGAAAAATACCACTGTTCTTATTTTTCTGAAAAGAAGAGTGATGCATATCATACAGTGAACTGAATCATTTTCAACTGTTAAAAAACCAGACAAAATTTCACACAATCAAACTCAACAGGTATATGTTTTGGAGTTACAAGAGTAAGGATGACTCGCGAAGATTTTCCGTTGTAGTTAGTGTCAGGTGTTGAATCATTTACAACTAAAAAATCAACGCTAATATGTATTATCTTATTATTTGTTAATTATCTGATTTTCATGTTTGCTGATTATCCTAACCACAATTGATGGAGAAGTATGTCAAGTGCTGTTAGACGTTTTCCGGATACTAATAATTTTAGTTACTTTACTTTGTTTCAAGCCCTTTGGTATTTCTTCCGAACAAAAACTGGAATTATTCATTAATACATTTCAATCCATATTTGGCTAGATATTTATTATCAAAAAGCGCTTGATTTACACAAGTAGTGTGGTGTATACTGATAAATACAAGTAGTATGTAGTACCAATCTGAAGCGGAATCTCTGGAAGCCGAAGATCGAAATGAAGAAAACAGGAATGAAGTCGAAGTGAGATCGATAGAACAACAGAATTAGAGAAATAATAGAATACGTGAAGGATAACGTGAAAAAGATGTGCATATGATGTATTCAATGCAAAATTTTCATAATATACTAAGACACTGTGTGATTTGCATTAGATACTAAAATGGTTTTCTCTTCCAAGTGTTCTTTCATTTAAGTAAAATTAAAGAATTATGCTTTTACATAGCTTTATTGTAAAAAGCAGACATAGAAGAAAGTTATTAATTTATTGCCCGTTCTTGGTGAAACTAGTTATACAATCTAAGACGCTTAAATAATGTAGTAGAGAAATGACATACGTAGTCACTTATTGGAAACGTGAAATTAAAGAAAAAATGATGAAATATTTACCTTTTACTGGTTAATTAAACAATATTTACATCGAAGACAGTTGAAGTGTCACAACAAACAAATTACATGATACGTCCTTCCAAAAAGGTAACATTAAAAATAAACATGATTTTAAAATGAAATAAATCGTTGATAAACGATAAAGTTAATTTTAATTATATTTCATACAGTGCATAATAGAAGTCGAGACAGTAGTAAATTTAAAAATCATGAACATAAAGTGTGGTTTCTCGACGTAGTTTTAATTTTCTTTTTTCCTCGACAGTTATGCATTCAAATAATCCATTTCCTGAATTGGTCTCAAGTGATATAAAACAAATTCCAGTAAATACATGTAGAATGGTTGAATATAATGCAAACTAACCAAGTGATCACTGAGCAAATCCTTTAGATCAATAGAAAATAAGTTATTAGAGTTACACTAACAGGGTACAGAAGAAATATTTATCAATAACATCTAAAAATAATTTAAAATACATGACTACTCATTTCCAAATAACTAACTAGGACTTAGTGTTTTAGCGTAAGATTATTGCCTGATTTAAAAGCATATACTACTTATTTATACACACAGAGAGTAATATTTCTGATATAAACATAAAACCCAATGCTCAACAGAATCATGAAGTATTCCGACGTTTCATAGTTTGACACAGAAATTGTAGACTATACACTCGTAAGTAAAAAATGTATTAAGTCTTTTGAATTTACAGTGGTGGCGATGTCGTACCTGACTACATAATTTTATTCGGTGAAAAAATTAAGTCAGTAAGATAGATAAATACGATTTTGTTAGGACCATGTATCGCATCTATTGTGTTTGTGTTTTTGTTTTAACAACAGGCTCTTTCTCTTCATTACAAAGCCTGCCATTAAGCCGCAGAACTTAGGTGAAAGCTATTTCACTGTAATGATGATTTAAAAAAAGTGATTTGAATAGTTCATTCCATTTGTCAAGTCTGATTCATCATATTACTTTACATTTATGTTTCATTCTTTGCTTCATTATAATGCATTTACCACTGGAAGAAATAAACGTCAAAGATTTCGAGATGGTGGAGAAGATTTGTAGCTCAGGTGGATGATTTTGGTGGAGTTTTGTTCTCTGAGCTGGATGGTTTGGTCGATTTTTTGATCATATTTTTAAAGGATGGCCTGGTCATTTCAATACCGGCGTCAGACCTCAAAATATCCCCAGATAACTAAACATAGCATTTTATTTCTACTGTAAAAATACTGATTAGGACCCAAGCTTAAGTACATTTAAAGGTCATCATATTTTCGTCAAATATTTTTAAAGTTTAAATTACGAACTGGTCTCAGTTAGATCACCAGTGAAAACCTGGAAGCACTGAAAGGCCGTTTCGTCTTAGTATGGGTCTCCCCTGTTTTAGTGAGAAGCTGTGACCAGTGGAGTCCTATCGTGTTGTGTGTTACTTGTGTTTACAGACATAAGTAGTATGCAACACCAGTGAGAAGTGGGACGTCTGTGAGCAGAAGGTTGAGAAGATTGAAGTGAAGAGAAGAGAGAATAAAACTGAAAGCAATCAAGATAACAACAGGAATGAAAAAACGATAAAGCTTGTAAGTGATTATTAAAAGATTTGCAAATGATGTATTAGATGTATAATTTTCACATTTTAATAAACCGTTGTGTGATTGTGCATTGAACAATGAATTGATCTTCCACACCTGAGAGTTCTCTTACGACATTATCCGTATCGAGTGTGGGCTGCTATAGACTTCAGCCAATGGATGGAGAATGCTCAACATCGTGGTTTGGTTGAAATCAAACAGTAACACAGTTGAACGCTGCTGCTTTGGTTCGTGAACGAACAATGCTGAAAAGTCCCATACTAGAACGAAACAGGCTTTTAACAGTGGTCCAGTTAAGACCAGGTTGCGATTGAAACTGAAAATTCTAAAATCTCCAAAGATCCGCAAGAAAAATATTACATTACATAAATAAGCTGGAAAAATCTCAGGTTAGCGTTTGCTGACAATAAATAAATACATAAGCTCACATGAAAAATTAAATGTTTTCTTAAATTTCAACTAAACTTAGTGTCTTACTAAATTTTCATTGTGGCTAGTAGTAGGATCAGGGATGTATGTTTTATTCTGTTTCAGATGCGTCAGCCAGATGGACTTTAATCTAACGCCAGGACTCGAACTCTTACTGTCCTCTTCAAACTCACAACATGTAATCCATGGAGATAATGAGTTCAAACCGTTATTAGATTATATGATCGGTATGAAATTTTTGATTTTTAAAGGTTTACCATTATTGATGTTAAGGATCACAGTTGATCAGTTCCTATTGAAATGTGTGCGTCATGAGTGGATTCACTGTGCATCGTTGTTTAGTCACAACTTTTTATTAAATCCGGTAACTGATCATTTGCAGTATTTAACAACAATAACAACAATGGGAAAGTACAAATCCTTATAAATAAAACATATTCAATGAAGGATGTGTGTCATAAATGGTTGCTTTCAAAGTTTTAATTTATGCTTCAGTTTTCGTAGTCATTTATGCCTTAATGACCATCCACAAATATAGTAAATGCTTTAATCATGTGTTCAGCGGTCCGAAGACTGGATGGTTATCTATAAAATCTATCAAGGTTTCTCTATAGATTATTTATTTATCCCTGGTATATATGTATGTTACATGGGTTGTCACTGACAATTAATAGGTAATTTTGGAGTGCTTTCATAAAAAGCAAAATATCTTAATATTAAAACACTTTTAAATATACAAACAAAGGTATCTTACATGTTGTATTGTTTTTGCATTCTTGCCAAACATAGTAAAATAAACTTAGTTTCCATTATTGTTTGGACTGCAATTGATCAGTTTCTTATTGGCATATGTGCATACTGTCTCGATATTGCATTAAGTCACAAGCCTTATGTGCAACGATTGATGGTGACTAGCAGTGGAATTCAGGACGCGCGTTTCGTCCCATTTGGGACTCTTCAGTCGGATGTACCTGAATCCCAGAGTTGGTGTTCACTCCAGGACTATTTTGATACTTACTAATGGAAGTAATGTGTTGAAGAAATAACCTATATACATCGTAACTACGTGCAAAAAGGTTTACCACTGTGTGTGATTTTGTTTTCAACTAATATGGTGGTTATTATAATGATCACTTTTGGAATAAAGAGGTGTTCTGATTGAAGTAAGCGAACATATTAAAAAACTGGATAGAATATTACCAATAAAAATAATATATCTGTAATATCCCAATCAATAGAAAAACTAAATCTTTCGATGTTTCGTGGCTCATTGTAAGCCACTTCTTCAGTGGACACATGGATAGAATATTGTTTACTTACAATAACTCAAAATATGAATTATATGACTGCGAAAAACTTTGGATCTTGATTAGTGCAAAAAACGGTTTTTCAAGCTACATATGTGCTGTGTAAATTAAATAAATATAAATCAAATCTTCGATATTCAGTTGATCAATGTTTGCTCATCTATGTTCATAAAGTTCCAGAAAACATTTAGATTAACAAAATTTTATAAATGAATAAAAATGTATATGCAAATTCTTACACTTGGATCATGAAGATGATCAACCGTTTTTGTAGTTGCTGGAGATTTAGAATTTTTAGCGCGTTTCTTTGGATAAACTAAGCTAAGAAATTCACCTTCGAGACTACGCCATTGGAAAAGATAATAGTTTCTTTGTTCTCTTCGCCAGGTGAATGGAAAGGTTCCATTTAAATCAACCATATGATACAGTTTTACACCGACTGGTTGACCACACATACCTGGAAATCAAAAACACTGAATGTCAAAAAGATCTAACATATGTGTAAATTATTAGGAAAAGCTGACGAGCTGACAATGTACACTATTTACTATTTAATTAACTCCAATCAACTGGGTAACTTTAGTCTTAATTAGATTTGTTACAATGAGATATAAATAGATTGTTTGCGAAATACTTTTTTTCAGGACTACTAAGTAGTGGGTATAAATGACATTGCTTAGAACCTATTCCAGATATTTAATGCTACCGACAAGTTTAGACCATTGCTTATGTTCAGTTAATGAGACAATTATACCTGTGTGTAACTGCTTCTCCCTAGAATTAGTAGACTACATAGGAATTAGAAAACTGCATCTAAAAGATAATCATCAGTAAGTACATGGTTAAGTGTTTAGTGATTAGTTTGATTTCAAGATAGTTTTCTCTACTGAGTGATACCAGCTAAACAATTATTAAAAACTAAACAACACTGAAATATTTATTCTGACTAGTTTAAGGCCCCTAAGTAATGCTTAATCTGGACCTTCAAATCTCTTGATGAACAGGACATAGAAACAGTTGGTTCTGCAGACTCAAACATTTAAAAGAAGTCAGTTGCAATCACAGCTTGATTATGATTACGAAAAAATTGAGGACCATATACCAAAAGTTGTTGAATATCAAACATAGATATAATAAATTATCATTTTACGTTACTCTGGAGTTACAGTGCACTACATGATCGACAAAATCAAGAATAATTATAACGTAATACCAATAAGTAGTTTCCCGTTTCATAACTTCAGTAATGTTCTAAATTTACAATATGGGAATATTCCAAATTTTGAAGTCACGTGGGGATCCGATTGCATTTAAGGTGCTCAATGAGTTCCTAAAGTTTAATGCTCGTCTAACTGAAGCGAAAACATCGTTGGAATTTATTAATGATTGTATACGGAATGATAGATATCCTCAAATATATTGGAAATGTTTACGCCGGAACAAAGTTTATCTGAATGCCAGAAGCCTTAAACGGCATGCACTTAACCAAACGGATTCATTAAAATTACACATAAACAATCTAGAAAGAAATCTTTCACAAAGAGAATATATGCTCGATAACCTACCACTGGAAATAAAATCACAATTTATGGGTTATAATAACATGGTGGCAAAAAGTAGATCAGAAAAACTGGGGACAAAACTAATTCAGTCACTGGAACCTCATAAACCTGAAAGAAAATTTCCTATGGACCATGAGCGGTACATTCATAATTTCTCTAGTGTTACGTTAGACACATTGCAAGTAGAGGCATTGTCATTCGACCTTAGGTTTTGTGACTATAGTAATAAATTAAACCAACTAGATACAGATGTACAGTTTGAAAATCTATCTACACAAACAATAGAATCGGTGCCTAATTCTCCTGATGAACTAACCAGGTTTAAGACCACGTTGGTAGACATCTGCCAACAATACAAAAATAGTAGATGTACAGTGAAAACTCCACTCACCAAACAGCACCGAGATGCTTTACATGTACTTAGAAACGACAATACTCTAATCATAAGCAAGCCGGACAAAGGAAGGGGGCTAGTTCTTATGAACAAAGCTGATTACATTAATAAAATGAACGTGATTTTGAATGATCCGAAAAAATTTCAGAAACTCAACGACGTTAAGGACTTAAATATGAAGGCAGAAAAATTGATGACTAACTCACTGAAGGAATTAAAAAATAAAGGTATTCTTACTCCTGACATACATGACTCACTCAAGCCTACTGGATCGAACACACCGCGACTATATGGTTTACCTAAAGTTCACAAGACAGGTCTTCCTCTTCGTCCAGTTATAGATATGTATAATTCGCATTATCGTAAAACTGCAAAGTGGCTAGTTCGTATCCTAAACCCCTTACACAAATTAGTCATCAATAGAAGCCTGAAAGGCGTCTTCGATTTCATTTCTAAAGTGGAACATATAAATTTAAACGGGAAACAAATGATATCTTTAGATGTTGCTTCCCTGTTCACCAATGTACCGTTAACAGAGACTATTGATTTTGTGTGCCAACAACTACAGGAAAAACAAACTAATATTGGAATTCCTGAAGTTAGTCTTAAAGAATTACTTTTGAAATGCACAATGAATGTCTATTTTGTCTTTAATAACACATATTATAGACAAATTGATGGGATCGCCTCTAGGTCCCATCCTTGTGGATTTTTTTCTGGCGAAACTAGAAAAAGGACCTCTCAAAGAGGTTATCAATAAACTGGATTTCTACTGTCGTTACGTTGATGACACGTTCATCATTGCCGATCAGAACATTAGAAAAGAACAACTACTAGAACTATTTAATAACAAACATCCTGCAATTAAATTTACATGTGAAGAGGAAATAGATAACAAATTAAATTTCCTGGACGTTTTGTTAAGTAGAAAAGAAAATGGTTCTGTCAGCAGAGGTGTGTATAGAAAAAGTTCTTCTCCAAGCCAATACACACATTTTTTTAAGCTTTGTGCCTCTTCATTATAAGAAAAACTTAGTCAAATGTCTTTCAAATAGAGCTATTAAGATATGCTCAGTCGACACAATTGATAGGGAATTACAACACATTCATAATATTTTTATGGAATTGGGATATCCACAGGGTTTCCTGAAGAAACACTTGCGTGTACAAAACAAGAAAATAGTGACTCTGACGGCTAATAAGAAACCGCTTTTCTTGAAGCTGCGATTCAGTGGTGATGTAGCTAGCGATGTATTACGGGATAGATTGACTAGAGCAGTAAAGAGAACATTTGATGCTGCCAACCTCTACCTATAGTATTCGACCCGATCGATAGTGATTCCGCAATTGAAGGATAAGTTACCTGGTTATGCCACTTCTGTGTGTATCTACGAATTCAGCTGCTCCTGTGGAGAAAGCTATATTGGGCCCACTACCAGGCAACTGAACCAACGAGTTAGTGAACACCTCCCTTCGTGGTTAGGAAAAGGTTACGTCAAAACAATACGCAGCTCGGTTCTATCACACTTGATCGATAGCGGTCATACAGTGGACAGAAACAAGTCGTTCAAAGTTATTTATCGTATTCCCACTAGTTTTCCTTATGGTGTTCTACCTCGTCTCTTACACATGGCAGAAGCTATAGGAATCCGAGCCAACAAGCCAAGTCTTTGTGTTCAGAAGAAATTTGTAACACCCTTATTTCTCCCCGGGCCTTAAGTAATAAATGAATTTATTTATTCTTTTTCAAACTTTCTCTTCGTTTATTATTATTTTTCTTCACCCCCTCCTACCTCTTTATTTTCTCTCAACTATACGTTTCATGGTCTAATTATCTGAACATTTCTTATTACGTCATCTCATAATTTTATAAATGTTATTTCAGTGTCTATATTCTTCTAATCATTGATCTATTTCCGATTATGTAACATTGATTTGAGCCTTTATTATTCTTATCAAAACTAATGCACCTGTTGTCACACCATCAATTTGTACTTTTCACGTTTCACTTATTATGTAATCGTTTTCATTTTTATCATTGACTTATAAACAACCTTGATTGGTTTAATAAATTCGTATATGCATATAAATATTACTGTATATTAGAGTAAAGCCTGATGAGGATCTAATCGAAAACAATATTGTTCGCTTATATATGTTGTTCTAAATTCAGTAATAGTGGAAATGAACAAAATCTTTTCAGTATCTTTTGAGTCAATGCGAAGTATTATCACTGCGCCGTTCGCTCAGGACTAGATCAGCTGAGTAAACCACCTAATTTCACTGCATTTTCTGATCAAGTTTTCAGTCACTTTGAAGCATGTAATCGATTTCCAGCACTTACTTAATTTCACATCTTCTTTGTCTTCATCGTACGTCGGACAACTTGGATGCTTGTCAATAGCTTGTTCAACAATACGCTTTAATGCTTCTTGTGAGAGGACATAACCTGCACCTCCAGAGAAATAACCATGTTTTGTAAGGTACTATCAAAGAATCAATACAATATATATCTTCTTTAGAAACAAATGAAAGAAATAATCAAGTTGTATTGCTAGGTAGTTTGAAACTTATGTTCTCTGATAAGATTTCACTCCCGTTGTTATTATAGTGTAGAATCGTTTGATTCGATACCCAATAAGCAAAAAATTATAACTTAAATAGTTACATAGTTCTGAAGTTAACAAATATTCGTTAGTTTGCTGATGTTAACTATGTAAATCCAGATTATTAGGATTATTGGAACTCAATATCTGTAGATTAACGGCATACAGTTCTTGTTTCCGGAAATGTAATGTAATGCCAACTTGTTGTTCATGTACAGGAGAGTAGAGATGTTTACTCAACTGATAGGTAATCCTTTAAACATGGATGCAAAATTATTTATATTCGCTCTTAGATATTATACCACATATCTAGACTAACATACCTGTCGTTAGATGACTCTTCATATCAGAAAGAAATGATTATTTGACTTGATGCTTGATGACAGACTGTTTGAATAAATGTTTTTATGACTAAAACGGATCTATTGAGCAACTTTCAAATGTATACAAGCTAAATAAGTTAGAATAAGGGCAGACTAAAATGTCTAAAACAAGCAAATTAGAACCAGTATACGATGTGCAAACTAATGCGTTTTAAAATAAAGGCAATCCGACAAAGAACAGAACTACACAAAAAGAAACTAGTATATTTCATATACAGGACTATTATAACAGTTGATACAAGCTATGTATTGATTCCTAGATTGAAAGCTCTAATAGTCATGTTTCGGAAATCTTTTATAAAATCTACCGGGCTTACATTTGACTCTTCACTCTTTTACATGACTACAAAACATTACATTCTCAATGTCGTAATAACTCTTACTACTGTAAACCTTATTACCCAATATACTGAAAACCGAAATCTTCATCAAAAGGTTTGTAATTCGTAGGTCTGATTTCACTTGTTAAAGTCTAGTGTAGATTTATGAATAGTTTTCATAAAAACAAATAATATATTTGTAATATCCCAATGAGTAGGAAAATTAGATTTTCCGACGTTTCGTGACTCAGTGTAAGCCACTTCTTCAGAGAATAAATAGCCAAATCAAAATTAATCCAAGTTTAAATAGTACAACGGAACAATAAGAATAATATCTGATCAATCAAAAACAGGTCTGAACAGGTTACTGTCATGTCATTTCGGTCAAAGTGATTTATAAGTGATATGTATGTAAATTTATGTGTATATATGTGTGTATTGTTTAAGGGTGAAAAATTGTGTGACATTTATGGTGAGAAAGGATAGAGTTTAACTTGTAAGATAATAGTGTGAATTGTGAATGATATCAGACTAGGTGGCTAGGATAGGTAGACCAAATAGGATGTATGATAAGGCCTTCTTTTCTATTGAGAGCAGTAGGATTAAGCAGTATATGGAACACTTCAGCTACACTCCGTTCTTCGTAATTGGAAAAGCCTTTTTGTAATATTTTGATATTTTTGAAATCGATTTGGTGGTCGTTAAAAATGGAGTGAACTGCTATTGCCAATTTAATTTGAAGTCTATCTAGTTCTACGGGATTATTAAGTGGTTTCTTCGTGTACCTAATATGTTCTTTGGCTCGAGTCCAGATTTCGCGAGATGACTCTCTAATATAGAAGGTATCACAATCGACCCAACCTAATCTGTGTTGACATGAAGGGAATTTTTTCTTTTAATGGAACTAAAGTATTTCGAAGTGTGTAAGTTGTTTTGTAATATACTTTAATTCTGTGTTGTTTTAAGATTATTTCGAGTTCTTCTGTTGTGCCATGATGGTATGGTAAAATTGCAGTACCAATCCATGGCATTCCATTCGATTTATTATATTACGCAATGGAACGTCTTGTTTTAATATACTTCTAATAATCTTCATAGGGAAATTATTAAATTGTAAGATGCTAATTACATTCTTTTGAACTTTTTGTTTATCTTATTTCGATGTGATAATCTTGTTGGCCGTTCTAAAAAGATTTAGGGCTAGCGAGATCTTTGCACTGAATGGATATGTGTAGGCTTTCGGTAGATGGATAGATTAGAATCCCATTTTGGTTTCTTTTCACTAAGCAATCTAAAAATGGTAACTCATCATGTTCATTTTCATTCTCGTTCGTAAATTTGATGTGCGATGAAAGTTTATTGATTCGTTTCGAAAAAGATCTTAGATGGGTCATTTTTATTACAACAAAGGTATCATCTACATATCTAAGCTAAATTCGTGGTTTAATGTCGTTGGCGAAAATATTTGATTCTATGTGTGCCATAAACAAGTTGGCTGGAATCGGAGACACGGGGGATCCCATTGTTACCACCGTTAGTTGGTTTGTCTAACGTCCCGTTAAAAGTAAAGTGTCGAATTTAAACAGAGGATTTTATGATTAGACTAATGCTTAAAGGACATCTGTCAGAAAGAGTATTGTCGTTCTCTATTAAACCACTAATGAATTCTAAGCATTTATCAATAGGAATACTAGTATATGATGAAACATCACCATCGCTTACCATGACTTCATTCTTTTCGATAATTAATTCCGATATTTTCCGATAGTTTTAATAAAAGAAAATGTCTTAAGTGATTTCTATTTTTGATAAGTTGAGTTGATTTAGTTGCTAAATTTTAACATTTAAGTTCAAAGATCATATTCACTTTTAATCAATAAATTAGTCGAATAAACCCAATTTATCTCATTTCTAATAAATTTAGATCATTAAAGATTGATTATCAAATAGATTACTATAAAAATAATCAACTGAATTGTGAGTAAGAATATGTATTCACCTTTGATCTTATAGATACCAGTCGTACATTTTATCTATTGATTAAGTTTAGCAATATTTAGTAATTCTCTAGATTATGTCAGTTAGTGATAGAAGTTATCTGAACTAACCATTTATAAATTGATTATTTAGAAAAAGGATTTGTTAGGTTGAATTATTCTTTTATATTGGATATACTACTTCATTACTAATGATCAAATATGTTTAGAAAAGAAATAATATTATTGGATGCAGAAATTTGTTCTTCCATTATATTTTCTTATTGTTTGTATAAAAAGATTTTACTAATAATTTGAGTTATAAGGTAATCTCTCTTAATTATAAAAACACAAAATAGGGCCCAGTATAAAACAAAAATAACACTGAGCAAAGATGGATAGTGGCTAGCAGTGGAATCCAGGACACGCTTTCTGTCCTATTTGGGACTCATCAGCTGAATGTACCTGCACCTCAGGGTTAATGTCCACTCTGGGACTCGAACCTAGTACTATTCGTTTCGAATGCCATCGCCTTACTTACTCAGCTACTGAGTCCTGGATTCCACTGCTTGTCATCATCTATCTTTGTTTATAATGCTTGTGAATTAAGGCAATATCGAGGCAATACGCATATTATGCACATATGCCAATAAGAGACTGATCAATCGCAGTCCTAAACATCAATGAGAAGATTCAAGTAAACAATACCAAGTGAATTCAGAACTAAACTTATTTATAATAGCCTATACAAGTCTTACGAATAATTTTCATTGGTTAGACTTTGGAAAAAGAATTTAATCACCTGAGTATTTCTTTTATATCACACAACTAACAGACTATGACAAACGCTTATAATTTAAACATTGACTTAACTTACTTTTAACAGCTGTATTTACAAACCTAATGCAACTCAAAACTGAGTGGCTTCTTAAAGCGTTAGCTATTATCACCAAGACATGTCTGAAATCTTGAGAGTATTAGCACTCTCCATAAGATTTGGGTAACTATCAAGAGAGAGTAAACTTAGATAATTCCCGACTGACGTTTTACAAAAACCTTTGGTCAATAATATTATGTCAACCAGTCATACTCAGAGATCAAGTAACCAGTATTCTTGCTTATGATTATTTCAGGTTTATACGTTCACAATAACTGATAAAAGAACTATCGAATATTAAGTAAAAACTTAAATTTTTCAGATCGCTTTTATTAAATGAGCTTTCGTTACATAATCACATTTGGGAACTAGAGGAAATCATGAATATAACTACTGTTAGATATTGCGAATTTCCAAAAGTTTAAAAATAATCAAACTTACAGGAAAATTATAACCAATCATAAATGGATCTTTTGGATTATGCTGATGTAAAACAGATCTTAAATTTTCCATGATTACAAAAGTATCATCATCTGCTTTTAAAAAATAATCATAATCATTTCGATATTGATAGACATAACGAAGAATTGCTCGCATTTTACTCCATAAATGTTGACGACTTTCTGGATAACTTAAATTTAACTCTAAGAACAAAAACAATTGTTAAATGTTAGTTTAGTAAAAGAATAATAAATAGTTTAAAATGGATATAGCCATATTGTTTGTTTGCCTATTATCTCTGCCTTAGAATAAACACATTAACAATGTGGCAAATGCTAGTTAACGGAGGGCTGCTGGGGTGTACCATACTGGGACGAAACACCCGTCCTGCGCTTTCAGGTTTTCAATGGTGGTCTAGGTATGACCAGTTCGTGATTTAAAAAGTGAAAATATTACAATCTTCACAAATTCGCGATACTAGAAAGAATAATTGTCATCATTTATCTTCACAGTTTTTCAATATTATTCAGAAATACTCGGTGATTTTTACGTGATAATTCAAGGAATGACTTAATTAACTAATAGACTTTATTAAAGTTTATACTCAGTTTAAAATAAATTTTAAAATCTTAGTGATATTGGTAGATTAATTAGGCGAACAAAAGTATTCAAAGAAACTTTTCTGAAAAAACAGTGCAAAGTCTTACTATTATAATTACCATTCTCAAATTCAATCTTATTATTTGAACATTGAATTCGAGTTTCATTATGAATTTCAGCATTATAATACAGGTCCATTCGGTTGAAAAATCCTGAATACCGAGGAACTTACATTTTAGACTTGATTGTTTGTCACTACCAGGAAAATTATGAAGAGTATGTGTATTTAGGTAATATCAAGGTTTTCACTTAATGAATCAACATGTCATTAAAGATTTACTATTTCAGTTTTCAATCTCATCAGTGAAAAAATTCAGATGAAGTAATAACAGGAACGAATCTCGTTGTTAGTCAAAGCTGAATAAAGAGTTAGTATATTTACACTCATACATCAAAAGGATGTATGGCAACTGAAAACGATCACTCAAGACAGAGTTCAATGGAGAATGCTGGTGAGCAGCCTATACTCCTCCACGAGGGATAACAGGTGTAAGTAAGTATATTTACACTATTTCAGCAAATGGTAGAACATTTCACTTGGGGACAGAAATTGCTTAATCTACTGACTAGTATCTGTTCTGTGGGAGTTTTTTGTAATTATGTGTAATCCTTTGGACATAAACACTGATGTCTTATTTTGAAGTGTTCGTAAATAGTAACGGCAACTGTATCGCTAGGAATCTTGAGATCAACCTTTTATTGTAAAATGTGATTTAGAATTTATTTGTGCATTTTCACAACTGAGCAATTTGAATTCGACAGAATTTGTGGTCACTGCTCTTGATTTTTGTTATTCTAACCGAGAGTTTGATTAAAACGAAAATTACATATTTGAAATTGCATAAGAGAAAGTGAAAAATTTATTGTTAGTGTCATATGAACTTTAATTCTAGAGAAAAGTAGGGAGTCATAGTGAGTTTCTTTCTATATCAGCACTACTCGACACCTTAGTTCAACTGAATCCTCATTGCGATTGTAGTTTCAACTTCAATAAACAATAAGTACTGTTATATAGTGATAATTTATTTGAACTTTTCAGTTCGTATCGCTGTAACAGAGTTCATGAAAATAAAATGTGATTTCGTAACTGAAAAGCATACAGATTAAGAGTGTCAACTTATTTGTAACAAAAATGGTTTAAAATAAAGTTTTGAATAAATATTACAGAATTTATCATAACTGAAAAGATCTGCAGCTTTTTACAAAATGTGAATCCATGATAAAACTTGTATATATTAAAGTAACGGTATAAGAAGTTTGTGGAGATTACAGAAATTTCATAGTTTAAATTACAAACCAATCTTAACTGGATCATCATTGAAAACCAGGATGCCGTTGATAACCATTTCATCTTAGTATGGGACTCTTGTCTGGATCGTGGGTAGACACTGTCGAGGAATGACATATTAGAATGAATTAGCTGTCTAGTACTTCCTAGATTTTAATGATGGTCAAATCAAAATCAATTCATGATTTAAAATATGTAAACTTGTTAACTAAATAAATCGAATTTCATCAAAATGTTTTTATTTCATTGAAATTAACGTATTAGCTTAACAAATTAACTGTAAATTATTATCAGAAGGGGTATTGTGGAGATTTTAGAAATTTCACTAGTTGAAATCATGAGTCAATTGAAGCTAGACCACCATTGAAAAGCTGGAAGCACTGGACAGCCGTTTCGTCCTAGTATGAGACTCCTCAGCAGTGCGCACCCACGATCTTGCCCCCCGCGAGGTTCGAACCCTGGACCTATCGGTCTCGCGCGCGAGCGCTTAACCACTAGACCACTGAGCTGGCCGACATCCAACAGTGTTAATGTCTAACTTCAACCAATCCACGAAATTGTGCCACCGTAAACCATTGTCTTCAGTGAGCTGATATTTTACAACAGACCTGGTTGAACTCCACTGGTCACGGCTTCTCACTAAAACTCTAGGAAATGCCTCTTGAAGTTCAGGTGTTCCATGATGGTCTAGCTTCAATTGACTCATGTTTTCAACTAGTGTAAATTATTAACTAATCAAAGTAAACAATTTATATTAACTAAAGTGTAAAGATTCCTAAAATTAGATTAAATCAAGTTACATAAAAACTAAAATTCTATAATATAAATTTTTTTCTACTTACTAATTGTTGGTAATTCCTTTTCATATACACTACTCATAAATAGATATTTTGTACAACGTTTTGCCCAACTATTTTTAACATAAATAGCTTTGGTTCTATGTGTTTTTGGTATTGTATTAATGTAACATAATATACGAATAGATAAATGTAACTTTTTAGCTTCTTCTATATTCATTACTAAACAATAATATGAAAATAACAAATAATTATTATATCAACATTAATGTAATATTTGTCAATATACAATATTTATGAGTTAATATTAAATATTATAAAGTTAGTTTCTGTATTTCAGAACTTTGTGATGTTTACTTCATTGTCAATTCTTGCATATTACGTATTATTCTTTATTGTTCTCCACTATTCTTTCCTGGGCTTTTGAGAAAAGACTTTGCTGTGTTGCGGAGAGTGCTGAAGGCAGTTAGCAAGGTGTGTGGTGAATCCTTCGATGTCATGATTAATATGGTTGTGGATAGACATCTAAAGTCATGCAAACTCCTGGCAGGTGTTATTTTATCAGATATTAACCACCCCCTTCACTCTTATCTTTCTCCCTGTATATCTTCTGGTAGAACGAGATGTAATTACATTAAAATCCTTGCAGGCAAGCAAAAGTATAAAAGTTCTATAATACCTTACCTAGCAAATATACTCTGTGACGAACAAGTTGTTAGAGTTAACCTAGTCAATAACCTGCATTCTTAACATGTCTCTAATTTTAATATTTGTACAGCTTTTCACATATTTTTTAACATCTTTTTTCCCTTGTTTTGTCTTTGTTTCCGTTTTTTGTGTGTAAGAAACTTGTTGAAATACTGTGTGCTGAGAATTCTATATTGTACCTAAATGTAATATTGTATAAAGCCGTTAATAGTTAAAAATTAATTAAATTGTTAAATCAAATATAAAGTATATCCTTTGAATTGTATAGATTAACTGCCGATAAATGATATTTTCAAGATGACAAAGTAAAACATTCGAAAGGAAGACTGATTTTATAAGAACTAGTTATTCACAGTTATATAATATACCCTTGTGGGCCAGGGTAATTTTACATTGGTTTTCAGGAGGACCAGACACCATCCGGACTTTCACGTAAAAACCCAAACAGTGCAGCTCAACCCCGTTTAGCAGAGGAACCAGACACCGTACAGGCCTTAACGCTACAATCTGAATAGTACAGCTCAATCCTGTGGCGCAACCACACAGGTACCAAGAACCCTGGTGGTGGTGTATAATGTATTCTGAATTGAGAAGAAATCAATAGAATTCGAATAAATTCTTCAGTATCATTTGTTTAGGTTTGTTATTCACCAATGTTTCTTTGTCCTATCTTTTAGTACTGAATGTATCTTAAAGTAAGTTATAAAATGAGACTGTCAATCTTGGTAAATTAAATATACCTACTGTTGATTAGTTAGTATTACTCGAAATGATACTATATATGAATTCTATAGACTATTTGTAAATAACATCATGAGCTGTTTGTAACTGATACTTGTTTGTAGACTTTAACTAGTATTAAAACTAGGTTTTTAATAGGAATCACATATCTCTAATTAATTAACCAACTAAGCTGTTCAGAAAAAAATAATTCGTAGGGTACTTGTTGAAGTGAAAAGTTGAAGTTTCCTAGTAAAATAATTTAGTTTAGAACAAATTCACAGAAAGCATTCAGTTAATTATTTAATTTAAGATCAAAATCTATATGTTCAAAAATAACTGTCAAGAAATTCATACTGTTTAATTGGATACTTAACAATATTCGAGTTATTATACTTGATCAACTTGATGAACACAGTATAAATTCAAAGAATTACTAGGTTAATACTTGAATCAAGATGAAAAAGTTATGTATTTCATAGAGTTCAAAGTATATTTTTTATTAGATAGTTGGAAAATTTCTGGTCGGCGACCTATGCTCCATTCAGGGTCACAGGCGTATATATGTATGTAAGTTAGAAAATTCACATTTATTATATTGAAAGCTAAACATGAAAAGATATTAAGCACTATGTTGGTAATTCACTGGTATGTAATGTGTTATATGTAATTACGAGTGTTCAACCTATTGTTCTTCAATGGTAATTTACCAATTATTGAAGCTCTAATTATCAAATGAAAGAAAAAACGAATGTCACAATTTTAGAAAAAAACTGAAATGGCAATTTTCAATTTAATATTGAAATGTAACACAATCAAAACTAAAATTCATAAAATAATTAATTAAAAAATTCAAAATGTTCACATAATTTCAATGATTGTTTTAATTATTTACTACAGAAATTGACTGACTGTTTGCATGGAACACGTATGAAAATAGTGCTGCTAATAAGACTGGAATAATTATAAGAAATATATTAACTATGATTAGACAATTGACTGATGAGTTTACTCCATTTTTTCCTTTTAGAATCAGACAATCTCAAACTTGTTCATTAAATTCTCCAAAAAAATAGCTTGTCAAAATGTTTGTTTATCTTATAGAATTTCTTTATTTTTCTATTAATCTTACAACAACATTATGATTAGTAATTTTTCCAAAAGTACTTAATTTTTTAAAAATAAATATTTGGAAGATGTGAAAACCTTTACATATTTGGGCAGCATCATTGATTAATACGGTGGATCTGATGCTGATGTGAAAGCGCGGATCGGTAAAGCAAGAGCAGCATATTTACAACTGAAGAACATCTGGACCTCAAAGCAACTGTCAACCAACACCAAGGTCAGGATTTTCAATACAAATGTCAAGACAGTTCTACTGTATGGGGCGGGAACCTGCAGAACTACGAAAGCCATCATCCAGAATATACAGGTGTTTATTAACAGCTGACCACGTAAAATACTTCAGATCCGTTGGTCAGACACTATCAACAACAACCTGCTGTGGGAGAGAACAAACCAGATTCCAGTGGAGGAAGAAATCAGGAAGAAGCGCTGGAAGTGGGTAGGACACACATTGAGGAAAGCAGCGAACTGCGTCACAAGACAAGCCCTCACATGGAATCCTCAAGGTCAAAGGACAAGAGGAAGACCAAAAGATACATCATGTCGAGAAACGGAGACAGACATGAGAAGAATGGAAAACTATTGGATAGAACTGGAAAGGAAGGTTCAGGACAGAGTGGGTTGGAGAGTGCTGGTCTGCGGCCTATGCTCCATTAGGAGTGACAGGCGTAAGTAAGTACTTAATTTATGGCTATTAGGTGAAAACTGTGGTAAGCATTGGTAATCAGACAGCTCTTTAACACTACATACCTCTTTATTCTTTATTATTTTGTTACTGGTCTGTAAAGAAATATATTCTGCTAAAGTTCTACGCAAATTTCATAGAGATAACCTTATCATTTACATTCTAGTGAGTCAGTGAGAACTAAATTCGTTAAATAAATGGTTGAGTATAACTTACAGTAAGTTTGTTCGACTGCTATATTTGATTGGATTTTATATTGTTTTCTTATCTTTGGATGTAAATCAGCATGTTTTGTTTTGGATTTATCATTTTTACATAGAATAACTTTATTTTCATATCTAGGTTTTAGTGAGATAACAATAATTCCTATCATAATTCCAACGAATAATGGTAAAAATTTACGAGTTTCAAAAAACATAGTAAAAATGATATTCAGAATTCTCTGCTTTCCGTATAAATCGCAACAGATGATAAAGTGTGTATATATATATATAATTTTGCGATATATTCAGATTTGCGGGGGTGGGGTGACAAAGTGCAACACTTTAATTCAAACTTAAAGAGTTCTGGTATTAGTTTGATATATCATTCCATACATTACTAAATGGAGATTGATTAATTTAGTCAATTGTGCAACTCCACGTAATTTGTGTACTAATAAATAAATGATTTTCCTAAGTTCTACAATCAGGCTATTCTTGGATATCTCCTAATGCTTTACAATGAATACATAGTTTTTGCAACTTTTACAGTAATCGTAGTGTTGATGATGAATGATTTGAGTATATTTCTGCATTATATAACCAAAGACTGAGGCACTTTTAAAATGTCTATTATGAAATGAAATTAATTCATAGTAACTAAGACATTTTCAGAGGCTTAAGTCATCAAACATCAGTTTAATATAATTTATAAATTCGGGTTACTACCAACATGGGCGTAGAATTTATTCAGTTTTTATTTAATAGATATTTATGAAACGTTTTTATAAGTTTTCAAATGCAGTTGAATGTATTTGGGGAAGAAATCAATGATAAAATTAGAACTCGATCAAGTGAAATCTCATTTTGATGATAGGATGTTTCTTCAGGTGAAGTGTTAACCTATTGAATTTGGTTTTTATAAAGCTGGGTAGATATACTGTCAGTACGGTCCTCTGAATCTTTCTATTTACGTTTATTCTGCGTGTAGCTCTATATGCCTTCACCTCATAATTCTTAGCAGAGTTCGTTTTAATATATTTCCTGTTCCCAAAACTCTAAACATATGTTTATCAATGTTAGCATACTAACTTGAAACCACTAACCGCGTCATTTATCACTAATTATGCTTGAATATGTATTTGAAATAATTGTAAATCGAAACAGAAAAATGAAGACTGCTTGTCTAAGTCACAAGGATAAGCCTTTCATACTCATGGGTTCCGATTTAGTTTATATAATTGCCTGCTTAAGTTAGACAGAGTTTTAATGATTCTGATGTAAGCCGAAATATCCCAGTACACTGAAGTATATGTCGGAATATTTATACCTATAAAAAGATGTTTTAGTATGATTATAAACTGAAAAACTGAACCTCTATGTCAACCAATAACCAATCAATTACGTCAATAAATTAAACACTTGAAAGGCCATGTGAAAAGTATATCAGAGATGAACTAATGTCTCTGCATAATCTAAATTTTCGAAGTACAGTGCAATTAAAGATAGGTTTATCAGCTGATCAACTCCGCCTGTAGCTCTTCTAGAGTTACTGCCGGTCCCAAGCCCGGGTAAAGGAGGAGGGGTGGGCATGGGGTTAGCGTCCCCATCCCGTAGAAAACTAACTCGCTAAAAAAACGCTTACCAGAAAAAAATAATTCAAACCATTTTAACTCTGCCCTGAGAGTTAGAAGGTCTTCATTTAGAAGAATTATGACGCTTCATGGTGAAAGCCGAGTTCCTTCGGAAGCCACGAGGCCGATGCCCCTTCTAACAACCAGAGCAAAAATTTTTATAGGTACATGGAACGTTCGAACAATGTGGGAAACCGGGAAGACCAGCCAAATAGCAACGGTATTGAGGAGATACAACATGGCAGTACTGGGAATCAGCGAAACCCACTGGACACAAGCTGGACAGAAAAGGTTAGCTACGGGAGAGATGCTGCTATACTCCGGTCACGAAGAGGAAAATGCTCCACACACTCAGGGAGTTGCTCTAATGCTGTCCGAAGTAGCACGAAATGCACTTGTAGGATGGGAATCCCACGGGTCCAGAATCATCAAAGCATCATTCAAAACAAAGAAGGAGGGGATCTTAATGAATATTATCCAATGTTATGCACCCACCAATGATAGCAACGACGATATTAAAGATCAATTCTACGAGCGGCTGCAGTCAATCATAGAGAAATGTTCAAGAAAGGACCTCACCATTCTGATGGGAGATCTAAATGCCAAGGTTGGAATAGAAAACACTGGACATGAAGATATTATGGGGCGACATGGACTGGGAGAGAGGAACGAAAATGGAGAAAGATTTGCAAATTTGTGTGCATTCAACAAATTAGTCATAGGAGGCACAATATTTCCACACAAACGTATACACAAGGCTACATGGATCTCACCGGACCACACTACAGAGAACCAGATAGACCATATTTGCATCAACAAAAAATTCCGAAGGACAATGGAAGATGTGAGAACCAGGAGAGGAGCTGACGTAGCTTCAGATCACCACCTAGTTGTAGCCAATTTAAAACTGAAGCTAAAAATGAACTGGACAAGTGGACAAACAGCACTACAAAGGTTCAATACAGCCTTCCTTCGAGATACTGACAAACTCAATGAATTCAAGATAGCTCTCAACAACAGGTTCCAAGCCTTACAAGATCTACTGAAAGAAGAAGAAACTAGTATGGAGGACAACTGGAAAGGCATCAAGGAAGCATTAACTTCAACGTGTCAAGAGGTTCTGGGTCTAAAGAAATACCATCATAAGGAATGGATCTCTACAGAAACACTGGACAAGATCAAAGAAGGGAAGAACAAGAAGACAGCAATAAACAACAGCCGAACACGAACAGAGAAAGTCCAAGCACAAGCTGAATACATAGAAGCAAACAAACAAGTGAAGAGGAGCATTAGAGCCGACAGGAAGAAATACGTGGAAGAATTAGCAACGACGGCAGAAAAAGCTGCAAGAGAAGGAAATATGAAACAGCTCTACGATACAACGAAGAAACTATCAGGGAAATACAGTAAACCAGAGAGGCCGGTCAAAGACAAAGAAGGCAAGCCAATCACTGAAATTCAACAACAGCGAAACAGATGGGTAGAATACTTCGAGGAACTCCTGAATAGGCCGGCTCCAATGAATCCACCGAACATCGAAGCAGCACACACAGATCTTCCTATAGATGTCAACCCACCAACGACGGAAGAAATTAGAATGGCCGTCAGACAAATCAAGAACGGGAAAGCAGCAGGACCCGACAACATACCAGCTGAAGCACTGAAATCAGACGTCGAAGTAACCACAAGCATGCTTTACCCTCTATTTAAAAAGATTTGGGAGGAGGAACAAGTGCCAATGGACTGGAAAGAAGGACACCTCATCAAGATTCCAAAGAAAGGAGATCTGAGCAAATGTGAAAACTACAGAGGCATCACACTACTGTCAATACCAGGGAAAGTCTTCAACAGAGTGTTGCTGAACCGGATGAAGGATGCAGTAGATGCCCAACTTCGAGATCAACAAGCTGGATTCCGAAAGGATCGCTCGTGCACAGACCAAATTGCAACACTACGGATCATCGTCGAACAATCAATTGAGTGGAACTCGTCACTATACATCAACTTCATTGATTATGAAGAGGCATTCGACAGTGTAGATAGGAGGACATTATGGAAACTTCTTCGACACTACGGAGTTCCTGAGAAGATTGTCAATATTATCCGGAACTCATACGACGGACTACAGTGCAAATTAGTGCATGGAGGACAGCTGACAGACGCATTCCAAGTAAGGACCGGAGTCAGACAAGGCTGTCTACTCTCTCCCTCCCTCTTTCTTCTGGTGGTCGACTGGATTATGAAGAGTTCGACATCTGAAGGAAAACACGGAATTCAATGGACAGCTCAGAACCAATTAGACGATCTGGACTTCGCAGATGACCTAGCCCTCCTATCACGTACACGTGAACAGATTCAGATAAAGACAGCCAATGTAGCAGCAGTCTCTGCATCAGTAGGCCTCAGTATACACAAAGGGAAAACCAAAGTCCTCAAATTCAAAGCGGAGAACAGCAATCCAATCACTCTTGATGGCGAAACTCTGGAAGATGTAGAATCCTTCACATATCTGGGAAGCATCGTCGATAGACAAGGAGGTTCAGACGCAGACGTAAAGGCAAGGATTGGCAAAGCAAGGACAGCATTCCTACAATTAAAGAACATATGGAACTCAAAACAACTTTCAACCAATATCAAAGTGAGAATCTTCAATACGAACGTCAAGGCAATTCTACTGTATGGAGCTGAAACTTGGAGAACTACAACAACCACAATCAAGAAAGTACAAGTATTTATAAATAGCTGTCTACGCAAGATACTCAACATCCATTGGCCGGATACCATCAGCAATAGCCTTCTGTGTGAGAGAACAAACCAACTTCCAGCTGAAGAGAAAATTAGGAAAAGTCGATGGAAATGGATAGGACATACATTACGCAAATCGTCAAACTGCATCACGAGGCAAGCTCTAACTTGGAATCCTGAAGGGAAGCGGAAAAGAGGAAGGCCAAAGAACACATTACGTCGGATAATAGAAGCAGATATGAAAAGGATGAATTACAACTGGAAGGCGCTGGGAAGGATTGCCCAGGACAGGGTTGGATGGAGAATGCTGGTGAGCGACCTATGCTCCTTCACGAGGAGTAACAGGTGTAAGTAAGTAAGTAAGTTATCAGCTGATCGATCACGCAGCATCATTTTATATACTGCCCACTGAAACTTACATAAATTGAGTCCCTCAGTTCTATTGTTATAGCGATCTCAATTGACATAATATTACGAGGTTAAGGTGAATCAGATCACTTGTAACACATGCTTTATCTGCTAGGGTTCAGTAAGGACATGAACCAGTACCATCATTACAAACACAAAACAGAATTTCAAATGGCATACATGTAACTTGGATATTATATGATAGGTGCAGTGAAAAAATAATGAATGGAAAGTATCTGGTAACACCCGATATCCTGATTTTCAAGAAAATCGCTTATCGAATGTCATGTTATTTACGCCGGCTCCAGAAGATAAAAAATGATTATGATTATTTAAATAACTTGGGAAAAGGCTAAGTTTGACATCCTAATCGGAATCCACCTGTGTTATTTCCTTTTCTACTTCAAACTAAGTATAACTAACAAGAAAGATCTCTTACTGTGTCAAGACTGTCGATCTCCTTCACCATCTCA